CAGTACTCCAACTGCGGTCTGACCAGCGCCCGATAGAGGGGAAATATCACCTCCTTGGTTCTGTTCATCATGCATCTGCTGATGCACGATAAAGTGCCATTAGCTTTTCTGATGGCTTCATTACACTGCTGACTCATGTTCATCTTGGAGTCCACTAGGACTCCCAGATCCCTTTCCGCTTCTGTTCCACCAAGCAGGTCATTTCCTAGGCAGTAGGTATGGACATTTTTCCTCCCTAGGTGCAGCACTTTGCATTTCTCCTTGTTGAACTGCATTCTGTTGTTTTCTGCCCATATGTCCAACCTGTCCAGGTCTGCTTGTAGTTGTTCCCTGCCCTCTGGCGTGTCCACTTCTCCCCACAGTTTTGTGTCATCCGCAAACTTGGACAGAGTACACTTCACTCCCTCGTCCAAGTCGCTGATGAAGACATTAAAGAGTATCGGGTCCAAGGACCGAGCCCTGCGGGACCCCACTGCCCACACCCTTCCAGGTCGATACCGACCCATCCACTATGACTCTCTGGGTGCGACCCTCCAGCCAATTCACCACCCACCGGACTGTGTAGTCATCCAAGTCACAGCCTCTTAACTTGTTTACCAGTATGGTGTGGGATACTGTATCGAAGGCCTTCCTGAAGTCTAAGTATACGACATCAACCCCTACTCCTGCATCCAGGCGTTTTGTAACCTGGTCATAAAAAGAGATGTGTGACGCATGGCTGCTTCTCAGGCAGAATGCAGCTAGTGCTGCACAGAACACACCAATGCTACGCAGCAGTGGAGGGTACAGTATAAAAAGGAATATCAGGCCAGATATACAAGTGGTGTAAATCAGTATAGCTCCGTTCAAGTCAGTAGCTCCATCCTGACTTACATCAGCTGAGGACCTGGCCTGTCCACCCCAACTGAGACTACAACAGGAAGCAAGGAAAATGTAATGAGCTTGGTTGGAACTTGGTCCAAACTCTTTGAGGTTAGCACCTCTGCTCTTGCCGAAAGCCTCTGGTCCCTCAGTAAGAATGTGTCTCCAGAAAGAGCTTTGCAGTATGTCTCACTTGAAGGACCTAGTGGAAATGGTTCACAAAGGAGATGGAGATTGAATTATCTTTAGTGTCCTGTCAAACATTTTTAACATCTTTCAGTAAGAGACACAGGTCTTCAAGCCATGCTCCTGGCTCTTTCAGGCCTTCAATCCAATTAGTCATATTTTATTTTCCTCTCATCTGTTTTTCCAATGTAATTTTGAGCATGAGCTGTCAAGTTTCCCTAACAAGTGTTGCCATAGGAGCCTGTGTTTGTTTAGGGTGGGCTACAGTTTTGGCGGATTGGGGGGAGGAGCAATTATTTCTAATAGGAATATAAAGCAAGTGAAGACCTCTTCTTACGCCCTACCTCTTCCCTTCCCCTCCTCCTCCCCAGTTCCCATCCGTGGCCACTGCACACAAGAAATTATCTGAAATTCATTTCAGACCCATGCATCCGGGATGGGCAATTCTTTGCAATAATTATATGGAAACTAAATAAGAAATGGGTTTTGTTTTGCCAGTGAGTCATGACATATGGAGCAGAGTTAAAGGAAAAACTTCAGCATGGAATGTGGCAAAAAAACTCACACCCAACATTTTTCCCTCTCTGGCACATGAATTAGTCCCTGTGACCCTAGGGTGCTACAGTAGGGGGTTTCAGAAGGTGGGACTCTTCACTCTTTGTCAGTGCCCTAACACAGGGTTGGGGAAACAGTGTCATTTCTCAGGCAGGATAGAGGACAGAGGGCTTCACCGCTCATCTAAGATCTCCTGGCACTTTTCACAAGAGTAGGAGTATTAATTAACCTTGCACCTTGGTTCAATTCCAGCTTGGGTAATTACATTCTGACTAGCTAATTCCCCTGGAAGTTTCACTTGGATACAGTATTCTTCATTTCCTGCCCTAAACTGTTGTTTAGTGTTGCTGTTAAACATAGGCAACAATTCCTAACGCACTAAATATGGGTCCGACTCTGAGTCAGGAGCCCTCACTGCCAATCCCAGCCTGCCTCTGATGGCCACTTGCTGTGTGGCCCTAGGCAAGTCACTCAGCCTCTCTTCCTCAGCTCTCCTCTCTGTTAAATAGTGAGAATGCATCTCTCTCTTGATAAGGGGCTTGAGAGACAATGAAGGTGTAAATCCCACTGTTTAGTAATATTCAGTAGTGTTTGCCTTCTCTCAATGAGGGAACTGCATTTCACTAATAGGCAAACTTTTCAGGGTGTGTGCAAGCTTTGTACAGTACCATGCTTCAGAGTTGGAAGGCACTTTCTTTATTGCAGTCCCCATGTCCCTTAGAAAACAAGCTGGGCATGTTCAAGGGGTGGAATGAGGATCAGACCTAAATCACTATTTGGTCTGCAAAGTGATATCAAACAAAGGGTTTTGGCCATGCCTCTCCAAGGCTACTTTTCCCAGCTAGCTCTGTAGCAAGGCCAAGTGGATCTTGTAACAAAGGCTTGAATGTAGAAGAGCTGGGTTTAGTTCCTAAGTAACTGATACTTTTTATGTCCACAGGCAAGTCACTTATCTGCTCTGTGCCCCACTTCTCCATCTGTAGAATGACATTGTCTGCCTCCTGTGTTTAGACCATAAGCTCTTCAGGTCATGGACTGTCTCTTTGCATTTTCACGGAGTTTGCTTGGAGACTCAAGGTGTTGCCAATAGTGACAGTAAGGTGTCAGCCCACTGACTCATTGGCTTCCCACTTTCCTAGTTCTGATTCACTGTGACAAAATTACACCCAAGTAATTACAAAAATATATCCAAGTTGTTTTCGAGCCATGTCTGTTGTGGTTTCCTATCACCTTGTTGACAGAGGTAGGCAGAAGGAAGTTGCTAATGGCCTTTTGGGCTGTTGCCAGTGGGCCTTGCTCTGTTGAGGATGGTGACATCTGCCAGCACTTCTGTATTAGGGGAGCTCCAACAGTTGTGGCCCCCGTTCCACATTTTAGCATCCCTTTATGTGGCAATAAGATCACCATTTTTATGCTCTTTCTCTGCAATGCATTCCTTGGCCAAGCAGCAAGATCTCTGCCAACAGCCAGTGGGCCTATCACAATTATGTGTAACTGGAGTTTATTCATAAATTTCTCTGCTAAATAGCTCTTGGTTGTAAATTGTTCCTGAGCAGCATGTGGCAAATATTTTGAATTCATATAGCAATGTTCAGTTATGCATGTCGCAGGATCTTGTTTCTCATCCCTAATTGGTTGATTCTTGCTCTTGATTATTTGTTTTGCTTTCTTAATTGGATGACTCATGTAAATAATCAAAACAGTGCAAATTTTGTCTCATGTTTGTAAAATTTCCAATCAGAGAACTGTGTTGTTGGTTTAGGATAATATTTCGAAGTTGGAGATGAAAGTTCACTCCTTGTAAGTCATGCTTTTTTAGCAGAGACTTGTTTGTGATTTTTTAGTGGCATTGACATGGATGCATCCATGCAAACCCCTGGTGAATCTGTGTAGCAGTTAGGGCAAGACAGATTTGGAGCTGAGGCATCACCAGTCCAAACCACATTTTAGGTGCACTTACACTAGCGCATTCTAGTAATAAGTCTACAGTGCTGTAACTATGCCACTGCAGTATAGGATAGTTGTGGAGTCTCAGAAATACCTAAGTGATTTAGGAGCACAAACCCCATTGATTTTGGGGTCTCACTGACCTAGTAGAGCTAATTGATTTGAAAGTCAATGGGACTTGTACTTCTAAATCAAATAGATGCTTTTGAAAATCCTGTTCCAATCCAGGAATTTTACTAGAACAGAATGCAAAATTTATGAATTTATTTTATAATGAATGTCCACAGGCTTTTATTTTGCAGTGCTAGTTCAGCAAAAAACTAATACCTTTTACAAAATTCTTTAAAGGTTCCATGTAACAGGCTGATTTCTATCAGAGGATTAGGTTTGCCATGCCTCTAATTATCACTTGAAGGGTCCCCCCTCCATGCCCAGGCACAAAGCAGTGGAAGGATTTTGTCAGCCGCTTGGTGGGTGTTGCAAGATGGAACAAAAAAATGGCATAATCACTGTCCATCCTAGCTTTCTTATCATCCACTGGCCACACATGGTCACATTATTCCTGCTCCCACCTAGCAAGGACTGCAAGAGTGTGTGTAGTATACTAAAGTTGGTGGTAGACTTTCCAGAAGGAGGGGTGAGATAAGGATGGGAAGTCGGGTCTTCCGAGGTCAAGTGTAGTGTTAAAGCTGAGAGCACAAGTCACTAGGCTGGATCCTATAATGTTACAGGATCACATGAAAGCCTTATCAAGGAATGGCGGTGGAGTTTCCACTCATGAACCAGAGCCACCACAGTCAGCCTTCACTCAGCAATTATCCTTTCTCTTCCTAGCCTTTCCAAGCAGATGGCTGGTGTGACACCATCAATAACAGGGCATATTGCAAGTATGATGGGGGTGACTGCTGCTCTTCCACACTCTCCTCCAGGAAGGTAAGTGAACATCTTACAGAAGACACTGGGGAACATGCCAAGTGTCCTGCTTTAAAAGCCTATGATAGCCCATGCTTCCATGGGTTTGCTGCACCTTAGAACTGAACCTGCAGGCAAACACCCCTGTAAGTGGGAAGCATAGTCCTCAGGTTTTCCTCCAAAGCTCATTGAAGACCATAGGAATCTTTCCTTTGGCCTCAGTCTGATGTGGATCAGAGCCAATAGGACTAAATGCTCGACTCGGCTCTGACTGACATTCATGGGACTTTATCCCATTGAAGAAATCAGTCCCTATGACAGCATTTGATTATTACAGTGAGTTTTGGTGCTACCAGTGATGATGATGCAGAAGCCACCATGTTACATGACTCAGCATCTCAATGATGCAGTGATATTTGTCAACCAACCCAGCTTGGAGCGACTGACTGGCTGATTAATGTACTTTCCTAGCACGCCTGCAGAACTTGACCTTTGTTCTACTCCTTGGAAAACTGTACCTGTAGGATGATGCAGTGGTATCTTTGTGTATGCAGCCCAATGAGATCTGTCTTCTCCCAGGCCCAGTCTCCTTTCCTGCATCCCGTTTTGCACTTCCAAAATACACTGAACAGCAAAACAATGCTTAGGATAGTTTCTCATTCCAAAAATATATAGATCTGGTTCTTTTCTTCTTTTCTTTATTACAGATACTTAGTCATCTTTCCTTTCATCACAAAAAGCAAAAAAACACAAACGAAAAAACAAAAGCCATTGGAAATGTCCAAGTTTGATGGGAGGAAAAAGGCATTGCAGAGAAACAATTAGAGAAAGATACCTTCAGTTTTACCAGGATGTCTTACAACAAGCACTATGGTTACACTGAAGGGTGTCACTGAATGAAATCCATACAACCCTAGTCATACTGGGGATGAAAGTGGGTGGGGTAAACAGCAGGGGAAATAGTGGAATAGCTGTTACTCAGAGCTATAGTGAATCTTCCATAAAGGAGCCAAATCAAACAGTTCCATTTCCTCAGAACCACTGGCTTAGAATATCATTGCAAAAATTAGTGGCATCACTTTATTTTTATGCTCATAATAGAGAGAGAAAGGGGGAGAAAGAGACAGAGAGAGAGCACAATACTAGCAGCAAATAAATGCCAACTCACACTACCTTTCCATGAGGTCAGGCAGAATGAACCAGGCATGGCTCTGAGTAACAATGGATCTCCCTGGGAGTGTTTCCTTCCTTCCACTGTGAGAGCCCTCCTGCTACTAACTTAGCCACAGAGTGCAGCAAACTATTAGGTAAAGGTCAAGGACTAGAATACTTGGAGTACTGCAGGCCAAGCAACATGTATTGACAGCTCAGGGGTGAGCCCAGTAGTACAGTCAGAATATCACGTGCAGAGCTAGAAGGACGGTACTTTAATAGCTGATGCTGCAGGTTAGGATAAAAATGCATGAGCAAAACTGGGGTGGGGGGGTGTAGTTATGTAATAGGAAAGAACACAGAGCACAATAAAGGTACATTGACAGAGCTGGGGGGCAGTACTGTAGTAGCAGGGGTGGAGTGTCAGTATAGAGTGCACTGGTTGAACTGGGGCAGTCAGTGTTATAATACTGGGCATAAGGGTCAGGACAGAAGTGCACCAGCCAAGCTGTGTTGGGGGGAAGAGGGGAAAGGGGGGCATTGTTGTTATAGCAGAAGGTGAAAGTCAGAATAGAGGAACACTGGCAGAGCCTTACCTGGGGTCTTTCTGGGGCTTCAAGAGTGGTAATCCTGCTGCTTGGAGCCTGACTGGCAGCTGAAGCATGGCTCCAGCTGGCCAGGCTCCATTTTTGAGTGGTTCACACTGTCCCCTTATATGCTAACCTGCTTTTTTTGCGCAGGTTTTTTTGACCCCTGGATATCAACCCCCCCGCCCCCACACACACACTGCACCCTTGTAATGTGAAGAACAGCTGCATGTGTGGTATGTGGTGCCACAGACATGTCTACAGTGCCACACACCACACAACCGTGCTGGTCTGGACATGGCCCCTGAGGTTGTTTTGTGAATCACGTGTAGATGTTTGCACACCTAACAGTGCTGATGGCACCCCCTAAGTGGATCTTATAACACCCCAGGGTGCTGTGACTTAAGAATAATCACTGGCCTAGAATCACAAAGGCACCCCTTGGGAGGACAAGGACCAATGGACACAAGCTAATTGAGGGAAATTTAGGCTGGACATAAGGAAAAACTTCTCTTCTGTAAGGGTAACTGGAATCTGGAACACACTCCCAGCAGAGGTGGTGCAGTCGTAGTACTTGAAGGTGTTCAAGAGGAGGCTGGATAAGCATCTCGTTTTGCTTGTTTGAGCCCAGTAACCTCCTGCCCATGACAGGGGACTGGACTTGAGGATCTTGCAGGTCCCTTCCAGTCCTTTGATTCTATGATTTGAATATTGCTGGTAAGGATAGCGACAGATAGGCAGAGCTGGTTCTTGTCAACACAAAAGTTCATAAGCCAAGCTTGAGGTGGATGGGGCGGCCAATGCTGTACTGGCAGGAATATTATTCACAGTAGAGGCACCTTGCCCAAGCTGTGGAAGGCAGAGCTGTACTAGCAGGGGCTCCAGGTCATGGTAGAGGTGCATTAGCAAGCTGGAGGGGCTTGGTCAGAATAGCAAGGGCACAGATTTCACTAGGGGTGCATTATTCAAGATTGGGGGGGGGGGGGCATTGTTGTAATAGCAGCATTGTGGGTCAGGATAGAGGTGTACTGGCTGCTCGGGAATGAGTCATTTCTATTAGGCAGGGACTGCAGGTCAGGAAAGAGGGGCACAGGTCAAGGAGGATCTGTGGCATAATAGGACTGCAAGTCAGAGTAGAGTTGCACTGGCAATGTGAGGACTCCATGCTGTTATAGCAGAGAGTGAAGGTCAGGATACAGGCATATTGGCAGAGCTGGGGCATCAGAGCTGCAACAGCAGGTGGCTGAAGATTCACATTCAGTTTCCTTGTGGGGGTGGCGGGGAGAGGGGGTAGTCAGCAGTATTTCAGTACTGATGCAAATCAGAATTGGGGCACGCTGACAGAGATGGCATCATTGCTGTTGTAGCAGGGGTTCGGTCTCAGGCTGCAGGTGAATTGGCAGGCTTGTGGGACGAGTACTACAAAAGCAGAGGCATGGGTCCTGTTTGAGAAGGACTGGCTGAATCAGAGATGTCAGTATTAGGAGATGCAAATAAGGACATAGGCACACTGGCAGCAGGGGCATGCAATCAGTGATCAGTGATTTAATCCCAAGGGGTGCAAGTCACTTTCTGTTAGAGATGCATTGGCTGGGCAGGGAGTGTCAGGCATGTAATGATAGGGGCTGCAGTTCAGGATGAAAATACATAGGCCAAGATAGATCAGGGCTGAAAGTCAGGATAGGAGCAGGTCAGCAGAGCTGGTGGGTCAGTAATATAACAGCAAGGAGTACAGTTGAGCATATAAGTGCATTGACAGCACTGGGGCCAAGCTGTAAGAGCAGGTTTGGAAGAATCTGGATACAGGTCCTTTGCAGGGCTGGGGTGTCATACTTTTAATGGTGGGGGAAAGTAGTATAGTAGCAGCAGTGCAGGTCAGGATAGAGGCACTCAGAACAGGTGGGTCAGTGCTGAAATATCGGAAGGCAGTGCTGGGGCAAGGGTCAGGGTGGGGGTCAGTACTATAGCACATGTTTTGGTTGGGGCATGTTGGCCAAGATGGGGAGGTGTGGGCTGAGTCAACAAGCCCACACATCTGGGTCAAGTTGCCCTGGGGAGGTAGGGGTGGGATATCAGTGCTTTGATAACAGGGACTGCAGGTCTGGATACAGATGCAGTAGCAGAACTGGGGGGAAGCCAGGGGGGAATCTGTGCTGTAACAGGAGCGACGTGCATTGCAGGGTTCTGTTGAGGAGCTCACACTGTACCTTGGCTGGAGCCATGCACTACTATCAGTCCTCTATGCATATGTGTGTCAGCATTCACCTTTTATGGTGGTACATGAGTCAAGAGCTGGCTGCTGGATGCAGTCCTTCCATGCAGGATCATCCTTTTACTTGGTGTTAAGTGAAGTGGGGCATCATTACTGGATTGGCTTCATATTTTGCAGCTTGTGCAAGAAACTAATGTGTGTCTGGGTGGCAGGATTAAGGATAAATTCCTAATAAACTGCTGCTACTGGGAGGAGACTCAGAAGTAATGTGGTTAGGACATTTGAAACACTTGTACCAAGATCTCACGCCCTGCTTGGCTGGGGATATTAGGACTCTAAACCTAAGCTGCATGTACAGTGGCTTACATTAGACAGAGTCCATCCTCTGTCCAAATTGCGTTTTCATTGTCTTTGCAGAGCAACATCTCACCCAAGCTGTCTTCCTGTTCCTTGATGTGATAACTAGCAGGGAAGAAACCCCAAACACACCAACCACTGCCACAGAATCAAAACTGATCAAATCCCACAAGCCATAAAAACACATCTTAAAACTAATTGGTGTAGTAATACCTCCCAGCTTTGGCAGACAGCCTGAAATCATAGCACTGAGAGAAGCCCTCTCCCTGCCCCATTCATCTCTGTGGTTGTTCACTCTGACATCATATATGGCTGTATTTTGAACATGTGGTTAACTTAATGATGCTACTGAGCATGGTATCTCACACTGGTGGAGGTTATTTTGTTGATGGCGCTTGGAAAAGCCCTGGTATACATGCCCTGCTTCACCCTCATTCACTCCCTATGCTGTACAGAGCCTGCCCTCAGCTCTGTCTGGATGGCACTCACCAAGTGACCCCAAACCTGAGTAAGGCTCTTTGTGTGTTGCTGTAATACACAGAAAGGCCCTAACTGATCTGGGCTGGCTCCTTTATTGGCTGTCAAGGTGACCCTCCTTGCCTAATTATAAGCCTGATCCAGTCCCTACGGAGTCTGAACAGACTCCAGTTGACTACAGAAACACTTGGATGACTGCTTTTGCACCTTCAGCTGGTATTTCACTCACAACAACATTAGCCTGTCCTGCCTTTTGAAGAATCTTCCCTTCTGAGAAGACAGATCTACATAAATGTATCAAGGCCATTGTTCTTTATAGCCTACCCTCTTGATCCTCATGGTGTTGGTTGAGAAACTGTAGTTTGGATTTTATGCACCCATTTGCAGTAGGCAATCCTGCAGATTTTCTCTCTTCATTCCCTTCTTTCAGGTGATCCCATTTGCTGCTGACTGTGACCAAGATGAGTGTACCTGCCGGGACCCAGCAGCTGAAGAGAATCAGTAACAGCATCACGAGTGGCCTCTGTGGGCGAGGCGAGCTTAAGAGGAATTGATGGGAAACAACCAGAATATCAGGAGGGTGAAAGGGGCTTGTAAGAAGAAAGAGGAAGTTTGGGAGGAAGAGACTGGATGGGTCATAATAACAACCAGGATACCCTCTGCCTTGTGGGCACACACAAGAGGAGGGGTGTGAGCACTGGTGAAAGTGGAGGAACAAGCAAGGAGATGGTTAAATGAGAGTGGGAGGATAAACAGGCTCAACACACAGCTACAGCCCCTGCCCTTCCCATCACCTCCTTTCAGAACAGAAACCCAAGCCAGGGGCCTGATCCAAAGCCCAGTGAACTCAACATGGAGGCTTTCCATGACTTCAGCGGGCTTTGGAACAGGCTTTGAGCAAAACAGATGAGAAGCTGCCGCGGACACTTTGTTACATTACTGTATCAATGGTTCACCACCTATGAGTGTGTGTCCGCTGTTGCTCTGAATTTTGTCACTGCTCACTTCCTCTACTGTATAGGCTTCTTTTAGCAAGGTCGAGGTAGTTGTGATCTCTTTGCAAATATTTAAACATAATTCTATATATAAATATATATATTATATATATATATATTTTTGCTGTTTATGAAGCTGAGAAAGAATACCCTTTGTCGCACACATGCTGCTGTGAAATACATACCATTGGAAAAAGCAAGGGTCAGGAATGGGAGGGAAAGGAATATCTCATTTTCCTGGGAGGGAGCGGGAAATAGAAAAAGAATGACCAAACAGGTCTTTACTTCTAGAAGAAGATGCCACCCAAGTGACCTGAAGTTGGAGGCAAATCCTGAATACTGAGCACCTACAAATCCTAGCCTCCAGTGACATTTGCAGGTGCTTATCTTCACTCAGAATTTAGCCCTAATGTATTGAGAGACAACAGTTTTCTCTGATACTTTCAGTAAACACTACAGCTGACCATAATTTTATTATGCTATGGTTGCTCTACCATACAATAGTGCTGTCACGCCAGGATACGCAAGGCTGGGCCACTATTCTACAATACTTTCATACAAGCAATCTGGAGCTACATCATCATCATCATCCCAGTCATTTCTTTCTTCACTGTCTGCCTCTCTCCTCCTTTGACTGGTGGGGACCCAGGTTGAAAAAGAAAATGACAGAGCAAGGCAACAAAGAAGATCCCCTCCCCGTGCTCTGACATGAAAGAAAAAACGGTCTTATCTCCTTCTGACTTGCTTTTGGATCCTGGGATCTCCCTGTTTCAATGATGATGCTAACAAGGTCTTAGAGTAGTGGTTTTCAATCTGTGATCTGCGGACCCCTGGGGGTCTGCAGACTATGTCTAAGAGGTCCGTGAAAGATGACTATGATCAATCAACAATATGTGAATACCCACACTTACTTTTCAAAGGCATTTGCACCTCCATTTGAATTTTTTTAGTAGTCCTCAAATGAAAAAAGGCTGAAAACCATTGTCTTAGAGGACCCTGAGAGCCACAATGCTGAGAGGGGCTGCATCAACTTAAACCACTTCCCTGGAGAAATGTTGTGCCTCTTCTTTCTTCTTGGGTTTCTTCTTTGCTCATCCTCAATTGCCTTAGTTCATACCACAGAATATCAAAGGGGCCCTTAAGCTTCTTCCTTCTGTAGGTCACCAGTGAACTTGCTCGGATGAGCTGCTAACCAAGGAAGACTCCAAACCACCAGGCAGTTTGTCCTTTGCCCCAAATATTACAGGTTCCTTCTGGGGGACTGTAGTCAGCTCACTAGAAACAGCTGCCAAACATGGACTCTGAGGACCCATCTGAACTGTCCCCCACATTTGGGATTTTTCTTCAGATCTGGTATTTTGATGGGCTCTATTTTTATGTATAACAGGAAAGCAACTGGGAGCCACTTTGCAGACAGAAGGAGGAGCTGAAAAGGAGACAGCAGAGAAAGGGGACAGTAGGATAAGGGACAGAAAAAGAGAGTAGAGAGAGAGATTATGCCTATCCCAGAGACTCTCTACTGTTGGGTCAGGGCTGAAGAAACATCTGGACATCACAGCTTGCCCCATTTGGATAATCTGTCAGTATTGAAGGAATGAGACACAATTGAAGCCAGGCCTATTTGTTTGTTGAGGAGCTTATTCAGCTGAGGAGCATATGGAGTGAGAGTGACACTCTGTGGGAAGATTTGGGTATTTCAGATGCTGATAGCCTGTTCCTATTGCTTTGGCTCCTTTTTGTCAGGCATCTCAAGAGAACTTCTTAGAAGGTAAATCCGTTTCTTGGCTTTTTTATTTTATGGGGACAATTATAGTTCTTGGTCTTGGTTTTTTTCTCTCTCTCCCCTGTTCTTCACTTGGGAGGGTCAGGGCATGTACTCAGGCTCAGGGGCCCAAGGGAGGGCAAGTGAGCCTGTTACCTCATGTAACAGCAGGGCTGGTTGAAAATTTTCTGCCCAAATCATTGTTTGATGGAAAACTGGGTTTAAGATTGAATGGACTTGGTTTGCAAAGGGGGTCTGCTTTCTTCAGGGACTTTTGACTTTAAAAAAACAAAACAAAACAGTTTACTGCTAAAAAAATCCTTCCTTTCCCCTCCCAGAAAAAAATTTTTTTAGAAATGCCATTGCAGTGCTTCCTGGGGGACTTAATTCAAGTGCCTCTATCTTCCTCTCTGCTCTGGCTGATTGGCCAAACTACATCTTCCAGTGATTCACTGTGATCAGGACTCCTATAATATACTGTTAATAGTACATCACAGGAGATAGCCTGGCCAGGTACCAGGAGACTTAGGTTATGAGGCATCCAAAATGCATCTCTCTTGAAGCACCCTAGCAGCATTTCCCAATCTGAATTTTGCCCTTTTTTTTTGAAGGCAGGTATGGGGGGAAAGAGGGAGAGGAAGGGAATTTCCAATTAGCTTTGCTTAACAGCCCTAGAAAGTGTAGAGCTGATGGGCCCATCAACCCACTGCCTTTACAGTGTTACAGGGGAGATTATCTGCATTCTGCTAGGTCACATCTTTTTTTTGGTAACTGCACAGTATCCAGCCCCTTTCTTCAAAACAAACAATGATTGGAGAGCGGGGAGAGACCCATCCCTAGCATGAGCAAGCACAGCTCCACTGTTGTGAATGGAGTATCCTGCACTTCGATCAACAAGGCTGAATCTGTCCAGAATGAGAATCCCAACTTCTCAAGACTGATGCTGGACCCACAATCTGGTGTGATGTCAGGGCCTGGGATCAGGCAGCTTGTAGTTCTCCTAATGATGACACTTTGCGTCTCCTGGGTTTATCTGGTGTGACTAACTGCAGAGTGAAAGTGGACATCTCCAATCATGGCAGAAAGCACTGCAGTGAGATCAGAAACCAAGGTCAGAGCCCAGCATGGTGGTGCTGAAGATGCCAGCAGAGAGAGATCATTGCCATCAGAATTCACTGACCCAATTATCATGGGATAGTTCTGCTGGGGCTTGCCCCAGTCTAACCAGGAACAGAATTCAACACCATCTTCTGTATTTTGAAATTTTGGTGACCACTGAATCCAAGTGTCAGTCTTGGCTTGGGTGAAATGAGGCTCATCAGGACTTCTTGTTTTTGCATCATTGTGCAGAAAAATTCCTGTGCGAGTCAAGGACAAAGAAACCTTGTTCATCGGACTTTAATGCTGGAGAAGTCAGTACCATCCGCTGAGTTTGAAGCTGCTAAGCTAGGGTCCACCAGGGAGAGAGACATCTTGTAGCACAGCAAGTAGCTTGATAAGGCTCTAAAGGCAGCAAGAAGGGTCCTGTGTGTAAGCTGGGGATTGTGGAAACACTGCTGTGACTGAGGATTTGTGGTGTGAGGGTGACACTCAGTGGAGAGACAGGAAAAATTCAAATAGCTGCCTTCTATTGCATTTGCCCTTTCCAACCTTATTTAATAGTGGCTGTATTCACCTCAGAAAAGATGGGAACTAGCTTAGCCTTTTTGACTAGTCCAAGGGCCCTGTCACTGATAAGATTGTTTCTTACGGATCAGATGAAAAAGCATCACCCAGCTTGTACAGACAAGTGCCCTCTGGCAAAGAGGCATGGCGTGAGGTGAGACTGCTGTGCAAAGCATGCCTCTTAGGGGCACAGCCTTCTAAGCCAGGTGGTGGGGCAGGGTTAGCACAAGAGCAGACAGATCTGATGGGAATTCCAGTAGAGATTTTGCTTCTCGTGACTTGATAGCTTTTCTGTACCAAGAATATCATTCTTTTATAGCGACACTGAGCGTTTTGTCCCCTTAGGGTTTTATTCACAACTGAGGCTGCTGCTATTTTTATTTTTTTGTATTTGATAATTATTTTTTATAAAAGTCTATGAAAATAAATAATCTTCTCATCCTCTGCCTCTTCCTCCTCCTCATCACTGAACAGAAACCACTCCCAGGTAGGTAGGGGGAACCCAGCACCAAAGCTGCAGAATCACACGCTGACTCTCAGAGGGGATGGAAAAGGCTCCTACCTCCGTGTCATGGGAACTGGAGTCAGTGACCCAGGAAGTCCCTTCCCATCATATGCTCAGTGGCAGCCAATATAACTTCTTGTACCACAAAATTTCATCTCAGAGCCAGGTTTTGACATTAGCTTTTGACAATGCTCAACGGTTTTAGGACAGGAAAATCCATCTGAGCCTGATGGCCTATCAGGGTACTGTGGTCAACACACAACAGTTTATTAGCCAGCAGTACACAAGGGACTGATGTGGCCAGCATCCATTTGCCTTTGATTCCCTAGCCTGAATAACCCAGTATCCCTATGACTGAATCAGCTCGGGCAGCATCTAACATGAGTTGAGAGCAGGGCTTGCACTCACACTTCCAGAGCCATAGTGAGATGCCTTTGTCTATCTGCCACTGCATCCCTTCAGTAGTTTCACCTTGGCTGAATATAAAGACAAGCCCAAAGAAACACTCAGAAGAAAAGCACTTCACTCACTGATGTCTGGTTGCAACAGAATTGTTTATAAGGACTGTCAGATTGAAAGAGGCCTTCTGGGCCATTGAGTCCAGTCCCCTGCATTTGCAGGCAACCATTATTTACCC